ATGGCTCCAGAAATTTCTTTTCCTATTTTTTACTTTTGGGTCTTTGGCTCCATTTGTTTTCTACTTTCTTACTTTTGGGTCTCTGGCTCCATAATTTTACTTCTCTTCGTTTTCACTTTGGGCCATTGGCTCCACAATTTTGCTTCTTTTCGTTTTCACTTTTGGGCCAATGGCTCCAGAAATTTCTTTTCTACTTTTTTACTTTTGGGTCTCTGGCTCCAGAATCTTACTTCTTTTCGTTTTCACTTTTGAGCCAATGGCTCCATAATTGTGCTTCTTTTCGTTTTCACTTTTGGGCCAATGGCTCCAGAATTGTCTTTTCTACTTTTTTACTTTTGGGTCTCTGGCTCCATAGTTTTACTTCTTTTCGTTTTCACTTTTGGGCCAATGGCTCCATAGTCATGTAGCTACTGGCAATGGTTGTTGGCTCGTGCTGCTGAAAGTGCTGTGGTTTCCTAAAATTTTGGGGGAGAGAGGATGCCCAAAACGCATACCCCAAAAACAAGGCCACGCCCCTGTTAGCGGCCCCGCTGTTTTCAGGGTTTTTTTCGACAGAAGCCCCACATGACTTGATGGCAACCCTTTTTTGATGCCCCATTTTGGGGTATGCTTTTTTGGGGAAGACAACCCTTTTTTTACACCCTGTTTTTGAGGTATGCTTTTTGGGCGTCCTATCTCCCCCGAATTTTTGAAAAATCCCTGTTTGGAAGACAACCCTTTTTTGCCACGCATTATTTTGCTTCTTGTCGTTTTCACTTTTGGGCCAATGGCTCCAGAATTTTCTTTTCTACTTGTTTACTTTTGGGTCTCTGGCTCCATAATATTACTTCTTTTCGTTTTCACTTTTGGGCCAATGGCTCCATAATTGTGCTTCTTTTCGTTTTCACTTTTGGGCCCATAGCTCCATAATTTTGCTTCTCTTCGTTTGCACTTTTGGGCCAATGGCTCTCGAATTGTCTTTTCTACTTTTTTACTTTTGGGTCTTTGGCTCCATAATTCCACTTCTTTTCGTTTTCACTTTTGGGCCAATGGCTCCAGCATTTTGCTTCTTTTCGTTTTCACTTTTCGGCCAATGGCTCCATAATTTTACTTTTCTACTTTTTACTTTTGGGTCTTTCGCTCCAGAATTTTACTTCTTTTCGTTCTCACTTTTGGGCCAATGGCTCCAGATTTTTACTTTTCTACTTTTTTACTTTTGGGCCTTTGGCTCCATAATTTGACTTCTTTTCGTTTTCACTTTTGGGCCAATGGCTCCAGAATTTTACTTTTCTACTTTTTTACTTTTGGGTCTTTGGCTCCATTTTGTTTTTCTACTTTCTTACTTTTGGGTCTCTGGCTCCGTACTTTTACTTCTTTTCGCTTTCACTTTTAGGCCAATCGCTCCAGAAATTTACTTTTCTAATTTTTACTTTTGGGTCTTTGGCTCCAAAATTTGATTTTTCTACTTTCTTGCTTTTGGGTCTCTGGCTCCGTAAATTTTTCTTCTTTTCGTTTTCACTTTTGGGCCAATGGCTCCAGAATTATACTTTTCTACTTTTTTACTTTTGGGTCTCTGGCTCCAAAATTTTACTTCTTTTCGCTTTCCCTTTTGGGCCAATGGCTCCAGAATTCTATTTTTCGACTTTCTTACTTTTGGGTCTCTGTCTCCTTAATTTTACTTCTTTTCGTTTTCACTTTTGGGCCAATGGCTCCAGAATTATATTTTCTACTTTGTTACTTTTGGGTCTTTGGCTCCATGATTATATTTTTCTACTTTCTTACTTTTGGGTCTCTCTGGCTCCATAATTTTACTTCTTTTCGTTTTCACTTTTGGGCCAATGGCTCCATAATTTTGCTTTTTTTCGTTTTCACTTTTGGGCCAATGGCTCCAGAATTTTCTTTTCTTTTTTACTTTCGGGTCTCTGGTTTTATAATTTTACTTTTTCCGTTTTCACTTTTGGGCCAATGGCTCCATAATTGTGCTTCTTTTCGTTTTCACTTTTGGGCCAATGGCGCCAGAATTGTCTTTTCTACTTTTTTTACTTTTGGGTCTCTGGCTCCATAGTTTTACTTCTTTTCGTTTTCACTTTTGGGTCTCTGGCTCCATAATTGTACTTCTTTTCGTTTTCACTTTTGGGCCAATGGCTCCATATTTTTTCTTCTTTTCTTTTTTACTTTCGGGTCTCTGGTTTTATAATTTTACTTTTTCCGTTTTCACTTTTGGGCCAATGGCTCCATATTTTTTCTTCTTTTCGTTTTCACTTTTGGGCCAATGGCTCCAGAATTGTCTTTTCTTTTTTACTTTCGGGTCTCTGGTTTTATCATTTTACTTTTTCCGTTTTCACTTTTGGGCCAATGGCTCCATAATTGTGCTTCTTTTCGTTTTCACTTTTGGGCCAATGGCTCCAGAATTGTGTTTTCTACTTTTTTACTTTTGGGTCTCTGGCTCCATAGTTTTACTTCTTTTCGTGTTCACTTTTGGGTCTCTGGCTCCATAATTGTATTTCTTTTCGTTTTCACTTTTGGGCCAATGGCTCCATATTTTTCCCCTTTTCGTTTTCACTTTTGGGCCAATGGCTCCATATTTTTTCTTCTTTTCGTTTTCACTTTTGGGCCAATGGCTCCATATTTTTCATTCTTTTCGCTTTCACTTTTGGGCCAATGGCTCCATATTTTTTCTTCTTTTCGTTTTCACTTTTGGGCCAATGGCTCCATATTTTTCTTCTTTTCGTTTTCACTTTTGGGCCAATGGCTCCATATTTTTTATTCTTTTCGTTTTCACTTTTGGGCCAATGGCTCCATATTTTTTCTTTTTTTCGTTTTCACTTTTGGGCCAATGGCTCCATATTTTTCTTCTTTTCGCTTTCACTTTTGGGCCAATCGCTCCAGAAATTTACTTTTCTACTTTTTTACTTTTGGGTCTCTGGCTCCATAGTTTTACTTCTTTTCGTTTTCACTTTTGGGCCAATGGCTCCATATTTTTTCTTCTTTTCGTTTTCACTTTTGGGCCAATGTCTCCAATTTTTTTCTTCTTTTCGTTTTCACTTTTGGGCCAATGGCTCCATATTTGTTCTTCTTTTCGTTTTCACTTTTGGGCCAATGGCTCCATATTTTTTCTTCTTTTCGTTTTCACTTTTGGGCCAATGGCTCCATATTTTTTCTTCTTTTCGTTTTCACTTTTGGGCCAATGGCTCCATATTTTTTCTTCTTTTCGTTTTCACTTTTGGGCCAATGGGGCCAATGGTGGGGGCCAACTTTTGGGGCCAATATATTTTTCTTCTTTTCGTTTTCACTTTTGTTTTCACTTTTGGGCCAATGGCTCCATATTTTTTCTTCTTTTCGTTTTCACTTTTGGGCCAATGGCTCCATATTTTTATTTTGGGCCAATGGCTCCATATCGTTTTCACTTTTGGGCCAATGGCTCCATATTTTTCTTCTTTTCGTTTTCACTTTTGGGCCAATGGCTCCATATTTTTTCTTCTTTTCGTTTTCACTTTTGGGCCAATGGCTCCATAATTTTTCTTCTTTTCGTTTTCACTTTTGGGCCAATGGCTCCATATTTTTTCTTCTTTTCGTTTTCACTTTTGGGCCAATGGCTCCATATTTTTTCTTCTTTTCGTTTTCTCTTTTGGGCCAATGGCTCCATATTTTTTCTTCTTTTCGTTTTCACTTTTGGGCCAATGGCTCCATATTTTTCTTCTTTTCGTTTTCACTTTTGGGCCAATGGCTCCATATTTTTTCTTCTTTTCGTTTTCACTTTTGGGCCAATGGCTCCATATTTTTTCTTCTTTTCGTTTTCACTTTTGGGCCAATGGCTCCATATTTTTCTTCTTTTCGTTTTCACTTTTGGGCCAATGGCTCCATATTTTTTCTTCTTTTCGTTTTCACTTTTGGGCCAATGGCTCCATATTTTTTCTTCTTTTCGTTTTCACTTTTGGGCCAATGGCTCCATATTTTTTCTTCTTTTCGTTTTCACTTTTGGGCCAATGGCTCCATATTTTTTCTTCTTTTCGTTTTCACTTTTGGGCCAATGGCTCCATATTTTTTCTTCTTTTCGTGGCTCCATATTTTTCTTCTTTTCGTTTTCACTTTTGGGCCAATGGCTCCATATTTTTTCTTCTTTTCGTTTTCACTTTTGGGCCAATGGCTCCATATTTTTCTTCTTTTCGTTTTCACTTTTGGGCCAATGGCTCCATATTTTTTCTTCTTTTCGTTTTCACTTTTGGGCCAATGGCTCCATATTTTTTCTTCTTTTCGTTTTCTCTTTTGGGCCAATGGCTCCATATTTTTTCTTCTTTTCGTTTTCACTTTTGGGCCAATGGCTCCATATTTTTTCTTCTTTTCGTTTTCTCTTTTGGGCCAATGGCTCCATATTTTTTCTTCTTTTCGCTTTCACTTTTGGGCCAATCGCTCCAGAAATTTACTTTTCTACTTTTTTACTTTTGGGCCAATGGCTCGGCTTCAGAATTTTGTTTTTCTACTTTCTAACTTTTGGGTCTTTGGCTCCAACATAGCTGTTGTTTTGCATCTTCTGACCAAATCTCAGCTTATATTGAAATAGGACGGCTGATCCAAACCGACAGGATTCAATATTATCTGGAACAGTTTTGGCCTAAAGCTTTCAGATTGTCTTTGGAAATGCGCCCTTTTTTGCTGCTTTCCGCAAAGCCCCCAAAAAGGCAGAACACACTGCACATACCAGTGAATTCTGAAGGAAGGTAGATCCATGGGGGGGGGGGGGTACCATATATATATATATAAACAGATCAATATGTATGTATAAGGTAGATGTCAGCAACCCGCGCCACGGTCATGGTTCGTTGTGTCAGTTTGCTGTATACCTATGAGCACACAGAGGCACAGCAAGAGTTTACTATGTATCTAGTGCGCTGCAATTTCGATTGTAGTCAAGCACTTCCACAGCCCCCTATTATGAACAAGATGACTTCCCTTCCACCCCCGCCCGACCCACCCCCAAAAACAGTGTTTCCCTGGTCCCCGGGCGTTTGAGCATGCTCGAGGACGGCAGCTATGCGGAGCCTTACCGTTTCAAGCCCTTCGGCTCCACAGAGATGGACGTGGCCGGACTGCACGGACTGCAGGACGCGGAAGAGAGAGACGCGGGAGGGAGCTGGACAAATGTTGCATTTGCGATACAGAAGACGGTTGATCCACCTGTTTTCAAGGGAGTCTATCACAACTGGTGGATTTTTGTTTGGTATGTGGATTTTCAGGGGAATCTATCACTGGAAATGCGTGCGATTGGTTCCTGGGGGCTTGAGCAAATGGAGGAATCTGATTCCGTGAAAGTCGATGGCACAATTCGCAGGGGTGGGAGGGATGACGAGTGAAGGGGGGGATCGTCCCATCTATCTTTACCGAGTTTGACTTGACATCTGGGTGGGTCTCTAAGATCCAAGGGAAACGCATCCACTGAGTGAAATCACTATCCCCGGCCCTCGCCTGACTTTGCGCCCCTGTCCGACTGGCCCCTGATGGACCCATGCACCAGTCGGGAGTGGTTTGTTTCAGTCATGGGTTTCATCCATCACAGCTGGTGCATTTTGCGGATTTTGTCCATCCACACTCTCCCATTCCCAGAGCCATGACCGAAGTGGGAGGTTGACGGGAAGCGACCCCAAAAAGGACTTGGCTTTGACAAAGTGGCAGCACAATTTGCAGCCCGGTTGAAAGGGTGACATGTGTCCCTTGCACTAAGTCACTCGAAAGAAGGAAAGAACATCTATTTCATCAGGAGGTATTGCTGCTCCTCTCACAAGCCACGAAGCCTCAAAAGTGTGAAAGGGGTTCCTTTCAAAGCCCAGTGCCTTGGCTGGTTGAGCCTCAGCTTGTTGCAATAAGCTTCTGATTGGACTTTATTACGGGTGAGCATGCAATGGAACAGAATCCATGTGTTCTCTCATTTGAGCAACAATGAAAACTCCGGATAGATGAAGGTTCATAAGGTGTAATTAATCTCAACCAGAAATGGGTGCAGCCACCTTTTCAATTCTTTACATGGTTCTGGGTAGACCATTTGAGTATCAGGTGTTGATTGTGACTCTTTGTTTCAGGTAACCCTGGGGTTGCCATGGGCCACCCTAGCACGCAGAAAATCACTTGGGGGGCAAGAAAATCTTGCCAAACTGGCAGTGCAGAACCATGATTTGGGTATTTGTTTGAGGGTGCCCTGGATGGGCTTCTTTGAAGAACCAAAGGGACGCCATTCATAACTGGGGATTCCCCGCGCCCATGAGTTGGTGAAGCTGAAGCATTGTAATTCGCCCAGATTATGACGCATGTAGGAAAGCGGTCTCGGGGACTTGTCAGGAGTGTGGCGAGCCAGCACGTTGCCCACTTGCAGAGGTCATCCCTCCGCAGGGTCATCATGGCAATGAGCCGTGGCTGCTTTCAAGTTGCAAATTGGGGAAACATGGTGGTTGCCCTTTGGTTGTCTTTGAAACAGCGCAAGACGAGTACCCTCCAAGAAAGACCGGCCCACTTGCCGGCCTGTTGCTGTGAACCATAGTCAGGGAACGTGGTTGCCCTGGAAGAAGCGCCTCCGTGGCGGACGCCCTTGATGACTTGGAGGGGGCAGACAAACATTGAAAAGGAATCTCTTGATGAATTGGAGGGTGTGTTGATAAATCGGTGGGCGTGCATAGATGTGCGAGTCCCGGTTGTGTTGGATGGTTTTGGCCTCAGGTGTGCTCTACTTGTATGGCCTGGTGTTTGAAGAAAAGTCAAGAGGGAGCTGTCGCCATGCTTACGCAGGGTAAAAACTAAACACCATGCAACTCGTTGACCTTTTTGCCCCGATTCCCCAGCACCGAGGGGGTGCAAAAGGCGGGCAAGATGGTGGCACTTGCTGTTATGGTTTGCGCTTGGAAACGTGAGGATCCGCCAGTCGCTGGCTAGAACAAGGCCAATCAATACGCCATTCTTGGGGTCAGCTGCGCACGCCCGGGATTTTTTGGCAAGGAGTGGAATGTGACGATGTTTGCGTGTCAGACAGGGCCGGCCGTTTCTTTGTGCCCCTTCCAACTTGCTTAGAGTCTGCGGCCAGACGTTATCCAGCACCTTCTGTTCGACACAAGGCTCAGAGCTTCTGGGCGTATGGACGTGGTTTGGAGATGTGGGCACCCTCAAGCATACCAAGTTATATATATATACATACGTAGACATATATATATATTACACATATGTATTATAATATATATATATATTAGGGGAATTCCCAGCTTGGCATTGATGGCAGATGTTGGGCAGCGACAATGGCAGTATGAATATCAAAGAACCCCTTGTCGTTGTTTTGTTATTCATTGTTGTCCGAGACAGGGTCGTGCGCTCGGAAAGCTTGCCAAGTGCATTTGTGTTGATCCCGGGTCTTGCACAATGCTCGACGAGACATGCAAGAAGCCAAGCGAAAACCGCTGAAGGCTCGGCTCTTGGTACTGCGCCAAACACATCAAACCGCACTTCAGGGCCGCCAACGTTGCACGGTAATCACCCCGCACGGATGTTTACCCAGTTGCGCAGTGTATTCCACTGCTGTTTCCACCCTTCTTGGGTGTTTAGGGGCTCTCTTTTGAGTCAAACAACAAACAACAACATCCAACATCTTCCTGTTTAGTTGTACTTATCTCCATTTTTCCCAAGTTGTTTCTTTTCCATGCCTTTTGATATGTTTCCTCCATTTTTTGAGGATTTGCCTCATAGGACTCCACCGGGCTGGGTTCGGCGTGGGCCGGACCGCGAGGATCGCGCCTCGGTGCTGCCCGAGTCCCCGCTGGCGGGGAAGCTGATCAACCGGGCGCCCTTCTTCTGGAGCGGAGGCGTGGGAGCGCTGGGAGCGAAACGCTCAGAACCGAAGCGAAACCTGGAGGTCGCCGCTTTGGATTCATCAGGGGGTCCCCCCCCCTCCCCCGCCCCCCCCCCGGATTTTTTGGCATGATCGAAAAACAAGAATACAAAAAGGAGAAACACAAGTAATTGTGGGAGGAGTTTTTAATGAAAAGCTGCGATTAGGAGGTCCCCAGTGCACCCCAAATTCACAAATTCACCGCTTTCCATGAAGAAATCCCTCAAGTGCTGGGACAAGACTTGGGTTCGACATCTGCAAAAGCACCCATTGGCAAGGAGTTGTGGTAGTACTTAGTCGTGGTAGTAGTGGTGGTGGTGGTGGTGGTGATGGTGGTAGTGGTAGTAGCAGTAGTAGTAGTAGTAGTAGTTGTAGTTGTAGTTGTAGTATTGGTAGTAGTGGTAGTAGTGGTAGTAGTTGTGGTAGTTGTAGTAGTTTTGGTAGCAGTAGTAGCAGTAGCTGGTAGTAGCAGCAGCAGTGTTCTTAGCATTCCACAGATCCTTTTGTGTTTTTCTTCAAAGCGGCCCAGCGAGAAAGGCAGCGTTTCATCATCGCCAGGCCTGGGGATGATGATCCGAAAGAGCGCGCCAGCCAACCTGAAAGACTCTTGGACCAGACGCGCCATGGGCATCGGAAGGATGCCAGAGGTCTTTTCGCACTGTCTGGTATCTTATTTGCATGTGCATGTTTGTTTGGCTCACTAAGTATGGAACAGGTTTCATTGTGTTTGGTTGGGCAAAAGCGGAGGTTGTCATAGCTGCTGTTAATAGTCCGAAAACAAGTAAGCAGGGGACCCCCCACAACACGATACCCATCTGCGGGGATGCTACCCTGGTAGCGGTGCCCGCTGCTTTTGCTGGTGGAAGTTTGAGAATTGGGGAACCTTTGGTACACATCATTTGCGTGGGAGTTGCGTCCACCAACCAATTGCTGAGGGTATTCCACATTCAATGTCATTGCCGTAGCAGGGGTTGGGTCAGCCGGGAAGGTGGCCAGTGTTAAATACAAAGGCACACAAGGTGATTTACCATATATGAATGTGGGTTTGATATGCATATGGCCGCAAACTCAGTGCTTTAATAAAAAGATCAGTGTCCATTCTGAGGAGTAGGCGTCGTTCAACTAAGAACTTGGTTTGGGACTTCATGGTCTACACGAACAGTGCATACACCTCGGCGCAGGACTATCGGTGACTGAGAGTGGCGTGCGAGATGTAAGCAGCGCAAGATGGGGCGCTTGAGTGATAGCCAGACTGTTGCAATTCCCCGTTATTTTGGGTGAGAAGATCGGTCGCTTGCTGGGAGGCTTCCGTTGTGTTTAGGGCCAAGAGTTATGGTCAACTTGCCAAGCTGGAGCAAGTCGGAAGAGCTGGAAACGAGATCACACTCATCTTGCGAGTTTCGGCATCAAGGATACCCCTTCTACTCTTGTGGATGCTACGCAAGGAATTTCAAGAGGTGGCATGATCATGAAGGATTCAACTAGGTTCAGCATATGTTCACCACTTCCCCCGTACGAGCTCATCAGCTGGTTGGCTTTATGTCTTAGCGATCCGGCAGTTGAGCATGTCCTCGATGTCTGAACATGAAGAGTTTAGAGCGGATTTTAAGCATGGCACAGGAGACATTGAGACGGAACCACAGCTCGGTTTAGTTCAGGCTGCGTCAGGCTTTGGACAGTATGGTGGGAATTGTCATCAACAAGGGCCCATGTTGTCATGTTGTGTCACGATTCAAAAGGATGTTCAAAACGGGGTCTATCATTGTGTCAAGCTCCCATGTTTAAACCCTTGGTCGGTCCGTCCCTCGGTAACTTGCGCTTGGATATGAATCTTTGGTCAATTCAGCGAGGGCCGGAACAAAGATACTGGGGCTTTCCATGCAACAGCATACATTTTTTTTGGGGGGGCACAGCTGTACCAGGCGATATCGTGGTCTTGTACCAACTTGAGCCAAAGGTGTGGGCTACCTGCTACAGTGGCAGCTGGAAGCACTGGGCCGGGCATGTTTTTTCGCAGGACATTCCATCGGGGTGGCTGGACTCCTGGAGAGCAGCCCAGCTCCCGCCTGATGGCGCGTACTTTCGGCAACACGGCTGCATGTGCGCTTTTGTTCGGTTCGCTGGGTCTGTTTGTTGCATGCTCTTGCTGGGCTTGCGACCTTTGAAACTGGGCCCTTATTGGACAGCGTTCGCGATTTGAATTTGAGCTCCGTTCCAACTATGTCTTCCTTCGAAGCTGGTTTCCCTTCAGACTTTTCCTCCGAGGGTGGGGTTCCCTCAATCTGCTAGTGGGACTGGGCAACTGAGGCAGGCTGGCTGGTCGCAGGTGCGCCTGCACTCGCAAGCTTGCGGGCGCTTGCGGTTTCGTGCGAGCCTGAAGCTTGCTAAACTCTGCGCACCATGAGCTATGTCGAATTCGTTGGTGCCTGGTTTTTGTGTGATCGGGCAGCCTTCGATAAGATGGAACGCCAAAAGTAGCATTTACTTTTGTGCCTGACCAGTGCTACCCTCGGGCATTTTCCTCGCAGGTCGCCTACAATGAGCACCGCAATATCATGCAGTGGGCCATGGCTGCCGAGTCCAACGTCGCCCTCAGTCTGCGACTGAAGAGCGCCTCGGTGTTTTGTCTGCCCTCAAAGCTTGAATGAACGCGCACGCACCACTTGTCTAAATGGGTTGGAAGGAAGCACCATGGCCCTCTTTCAAGGGATTAACGAGGATGTTCAAGCAATGGATAAAACTTGATTGAACATACTGGGACGGTTGGCCCACGCATGTGGATAAGTGCATGGATTGGCGGCCTGCTTTGCGCATTTGTTGCTTTATCTGGTTGGACATTGCAAAAAGGAGCAAAGGTGGGATTTCCCCATGCTGAGGGCCAACCTTGGTCACTCAATAATTCATTGTAGCGCTGGTGATGCTGGGGATGTTGCGCAGGTTGCGGAAT